CCACAGACAAAGAAACAAGTGAGATCGTTCCTTGGTTTAATTGGGTGGTATCGCCGTTTTATTCCCCATTTCGCAACCCTGGCTACCCCATTGACTAACCTCACCAAAAAGAGTGCTTCTAAGTTTCACTGGACAGTGGAGTGCGAAGGAGCTTTCACAGCACTTAAAGATATATTATGTCAAGAAGCAGTTTTGCAAAGCCCTGATTTCTGGAAGAAGTTTCTTGTGCAGGTGGATGCCTCAGATGTCAGACTGGGAGCAGTTTTGGCCCAAGGAGAGCCTGGGAGTGAGAGGCCAGTCTTGTTCTTGAGTAGAAAGCTCTTTGATCGAGAGAGAAGATATTCAACAATTGAAAAGGAAGGCCTTGCAATCAAGTGGGCTATTGACTCTCTCCGATATTACCTACTTGGGCGGGAATTCACCCTGCAAACTGATCACCGAGCTTTGAAATGGATGCAAACCATGCAGAATAGTAATTCGAGGATACTGCGCTGGTGTCTGGCTCTGCAACCGTATAAATTTACCATTGAGCATTGTCCAGGTAAGAAAAATCTCATTGCTGATTACTTATCACGGTTGCCCGACAAATCTCATCCAGAGAGGGAGGAAGGGAGAAATGTGATGAAGTGAGGTATGTAACTTTCAATTCAAAGAACCAAACCGTGGGTTTTGTGCTTAATATAATTTTATTTGTTGTTTGTCTTACACATGTCTCGAATGAAAGGTGTGCATTTCATTGCGATCCATTGTATGATGGTCTTAGCTGTTTGTGCCTGTAAATGAGAAAAGGTGAATGTAAAGTATACAAATAATGATTTGTTTGTTAATGGTGAATCTTTCTGTCTTACCTTCTCCCTGGAACTTCCTGAAAGGAGGGGCTCGCGAACAGGAAGCCTGATTTATACCACCCAAAGGAGGAGGAGTTCAAGTATTCAAAATGTTGAATGTTCTTACATTGAATGCATGTCTTTTAAGATTCTCGGTGGTTTTCATGATGAAAATAGAGCTTAAAAATGAAGATGCTAATACCAATGTTTGAATGTTGATGTTAAATATGATCTTATAAATAAGTTATGTAGATTGTATTTGAGACAGCCTTGCCATTGGTACGTTTGAATTTGAGGGGAGGAGCCTCAACTATAAAGAGTCTGATTGTTTGGACAAAAAGAGAGAGAGGAGAAGAGAACAAACAGTGATTGTTGGGCCAGTAACCAACGTGTTTGATTTATCCTATGTAAATTTATTTTGATATGTTTTTTTTTTCCTTTTTGTTTGTATTTTTTTGTTTTTCCTGTATTGGAATTTTGGTGGAAGGAACTACATTACACTGTTTGGAGCATGCCCTGACAAGAAAATTAAATCACCTTTGTGAGACTTCAGAGTTTTTTCCTTTTCTTGCTGCCTGCCTGGCCATTGCTAAGACTGTCTTTACCACAGTGCTATATAAAGTTTTAAGACTTGTATGGATTCTCTTCACTTGCATGACACTATCAGAGTTTTGTATTTTATACACACTGGAATGTGTATAGAGAAGAAAGATTCACACAGCACACTGGTAAATCATTCGTTTGGCCAGATGGCCTACATAGGACATTTCTGATGTGAGTTTGTTGTCTGAGCTGCTAAAAAGCTGATAGAAGTGTTAGAATCATCATAGTTAGAATCAGGCTAAAACAGAAGCAGGTTTAACTCTGGGCTGGATTAATGATGATGATGATAACTAGGCAAATAAAATCAAAAACCAAATAAAATGAACAACAATAAATATATCTGTATCAGTAGTCTTGATTTAAAACAGTTCCAAAGACACCTTACAGTCAGTCATTTAAATACTGCCACCTGCTGGTAGAAAGGGGAAACAGTGGTCCATTACGGTGGGAAACCACATTAAATATAATTATATAATATAGCGCTAACAGTAACAACTCTGCACACGCAGTAAGTTCATGGGTTAACCTACCAACTGTATTGAGCCAAACAATGCGCTCATTAAACGTGACTGGTGATGTGGATAGGCATGATATTAAATAGCTGTAATAAACTACTGTTGCTAACATATTTATTCCGGTCCAGGTTTCTATTTATTCATTGATTTTTCTTCTTCTAACGTGACTCTGGTATATAATGACCGTTCTAAAAGCTTGGCTTTTATTTTGATAGGCTATATTTACTATTACTTCCGGGTCACGTGACCAACCTGTCCGTGTTTTAATGTAGATCTTCAAACGGAAAAATGGAAAAAGGAATTTCAAAAAACCAAAATCGGACCGTTATTTGATTTTGGTTTTTTTCGTTTTTCATTTTTGGATTCAGAACCAAAAACGGGAAAACGAATCGGTTACCTAACGTAACCTCGGTTCTCTCTAGATGAGGGAACGAGTATTGCGTAAGCTAGCTTACGCTACGGGAAAGATTCATCTTTGCTGAGAAGTTGAAGCCAAAAAATTATTCCATAATTTTGTAATCATTGTCAACGCAGTCTCTTCTGAGGCAGACCATGAGCGGGCTAGCTAGCGGCTCATTGGTTCGCTCAGAGAGAATGCACGAACCTATGGGAGAGCGGCGCTGAGTCCGCGGCCAATGAGCGGACGGCGCTCACTCACTGCGTCACAGCCCGCCAAAAGGGGCGTGGCTACAGTGTATAAAGGTAGCTCTCCCAGGCTCGTTCGTCGATTCTGTCAGCATGAAGCGAAACGCTGGTGGCGCAAGCACGGCCGGGAACGCAATACTCGTTCCCTCATCTAGAGAGAACCGAGGTTACGTTAGGTAACCGATTCGTTCTCTTACTAGAGGTTCTGTCGTATTGCGTAAGCTAGCTTACGCTACGGGAACACCCGGTCAACGCCGTGCGCGCTGAGTAACCACTAAGCATCCCAGGGGGGAAAAACACCGGGGGAATCATAAGTGGATGAAGATAATAAGGCGGCCAGCATAGCGGCCGTTATCATCTAGTGCAAAACGCCCTAAGGCGGCCGGCGTAGCGGGCCGTGAACGTATAATGCATAAGCACATAGGGGAACACAAGGGGTGAGCCGGATGTGATGGAACTCCCGATAGTGCGGCTTTCTATAGGAGAGCTGTATAGTACTAGACCGCCAGAATTCTAGCCTGTAAGGCGGGAACTTCCAAGTTATAAAATCTGACAAAAGTGGAGGGGGAGGCCCGTCCCGCAGCCACACAAATGTCGTGAATGGAAATTCTGCAGGACCATGCCCACGATGAGGCCATGCCTCTGGTGGAATGAGCCCTGATGCCCAGAGGGCAAGGCAGGTCTTTAGCGGCATAAGCAGAGGCAATCGCGTCTACTATCCACCTGGATAGAGTCTGTTTTGAGGCGGCTAACCCCTTGGTGCGGCCACCGAACGACACAAACAGCTGCTCTGAGCGTCTGAATGCAGCAACGCGTGTAGTGTACACTCTGAGAGCCCGAACCGGGCAGAGGCGATCAGCGTCACGTTCACTATCGGATGCAGGCAGCGCCGATAGAGAGATCACTTGCGCCCTGAAAGGGGTACCAATCGGAACATAACCGTGTCTAGGTTTCAGAATGACGATGGAGTCATTCGGTCCAAACTCAAGGCACGCGGCGCTCGAAGACAGCGCGTGAATGTCCCCCACACGATTTACTGAGGCGAGTGCCGTCAGAAGAACGGTTTTTAGCGAGAGGTATTTTAGCTCCACGGACTCGAGTGGTTCAAACGGTGGGGCTTTCAAAGCTTCTAGACCGGCACCGTGGGGGGGCGAGGGGGGTTCATCCTTCTGGCTCCCCTGAGGAAGCGGATGATTAGCTCGTCTTTGCCCAAAGACTCGGCGCGCCGGGGTTCAATGAACGCCGCGACGGCTGCCACGTAAACCTTAAGAGTGGATGGGGACCTGCCCTTATCCAGCATCTCCAGAAGGAACACGAGCAAAGACGAAACCTCGCACGTCCGTGGGTCCAAATTTTTGTCGGTGCACCATTTAGAGAACACAGACCATTTTGCAGCCTAGAGCTTTCTGGTAGATTCCGCTCTGGCGTGTTTGATCGTGTTTAGAACCCCTTCTGGCAATTCGACGCGTAGTCGTTGGTCACCCATGCATGAAGCGCTCAGCGCTGTGGATGGGGAGCCAGATCGAGCCGCGGGCTTGAGTGAGGAGATCTGCTCTGATTGGAATGGGCCACGGGGATGTCTGTGACAGCCGCGTAAGCTCCGGGAACCAAATCTGATTCTCCCAGCGCGGGGCTATGAGGAGCACCGAGTGGCGTGAGTCCCTGATTCTCTGAATGACCTGCGGTAGCAGAGAAATCGGGGGAAAAGCATAGAGCGGGCGGCGGGGCCAATCCTGGGCTAACGCATCCTCGCTCTTTGAAAAGAATATTGGGCAGTGAGCGTTCTCTTCTGACGCGAAAAGATCTATCTCCGCTCTGCCGAATAGGCGCCACAGTGTTTGGACTGTTAGAGTGTGCAGGGACCATTCTCCGGGGGAGACAAGGTTCCTGGACAGCATGTCTTGACTATCGTTCAGATGGCCCGGTACGTGCGTCGCTCTGAGCGAGAGCAGGTGACTCTGGGACCACAACAGGATGCAGCGCGTCAGATGAAAGAGATTCTTGGATCTGACGCCGCCCTGACGGTTGATGTTTGATACCACGGCCATTAGGGGTGCAACGGATCAAAAAACTCACGGATCGGATCGTTCCTCGGATCAGAGTCACGGATCGGATCATTTTTCGGATCAGCAAAAAATTTAAAATAAAGACAAATAAACAAAAGTTTTGTCTTTTTTTTATTAACACTTTTAATAAACTTTTAATATTATTTTTAAACTATTAAAATAAAATATATAAAATCAACTTAAAGTGCACAAGGCATAATATCTTCTTTTTAACTTAATTAATGCAAAACTTAAAGTGCAACATAAAATGGCATAAAGACTTTCTTTAAACATGGACTAATGAACATTAATAAAAAAACAACTTAATGTGCAACAGAAGCACATAATCTTCCTTGAAATATGGATAATGAAAAAATCCTGTCCACATTATCAAAGAATAAAAGAAAGAAAGCAAAGCATATCTAAGCTTATAATTTCAAATTCTTTTTCAAAAAGACAAGGATGTCTACATTTTCTGGGGAGAGTGTGGACCTCTTTGCGGTCACTATGTCCCCTGCTGTTGAGAACACTCTCTCAGAAGGAACTGAAGAGCCTGGCACAGCGAGATAGCATCTTGCCATCTTGGCAATATGAGGGTATTTACACTCATTGCTTTTCCACCATGTCAGTGGATCATCATCTACTGTAATGCTGCTTGCTGCCAGGTAAGATGCCACCTCCTCTTTGATGATGTCAGCAGGAGTCTTGCTGTCCATGTCTTTGCTGGCAAAGGTCTCACCAAAAAGCTCAGCCATTGCCGACTTCTTTTGTGGAGGAGATGTATCCAAGTTTGCTCCTGTTGGCTCTGCAGCTTGACCCTGCAGAAAAAAAATAGTTGATTAATTATACCCATTATTTCTTTTTATTATTTATTTATGTTTCATAGACATGAAAAATGTGGCAATAACATTTAATGAAACAAAGCCATTATTACTGTGGGGGAAAAAACTATTTAGATTTAAATTTATCATTTTTAAATAATATTCTTTTTCTTTACCTCATCACAGTCTTCAGTGCCCAGACTGCTCACAATCTCAGTGGTGAGGTCACTGTATGTCCTCTGGCATAGGGCAGGGTCCATGTGAGACAGGGACTTGAACCTTGGATCCAGGGCAGTAGATCTATTAAGGTAGTCCTGCAGAGAAGGGGGTGAAGTGTATCTGGGCTTCAGGTCCTCTCTAATGGCAGCCTTGACATCTTGAGTAATGGTGCTGTCTTCCACACTTGGGGCCATTGATTGTAGAATTTTTGTTTTCAGCGGCAGGATCATTGACACAGATGGTGAAGTTTCAATGCTCAGCAGAGATGTAACGGTTTTGAGGGGTTTAAGCACCTGGATGACTTCCTCTGCCACTCTCATATCATCATCAGACAGGGTGATGTCTTTGACATTTTTTTTCAGGGTCTTCTCGGTCAATGCAGAGTAAATAGCTGCCTGCTGCTCCAGATAACGCTCCAACATATCATAAGTGGAGTTCCACCTTGTTGGGACATCATGTATGAGCTTATGAATAGGCAGCTTTAGCATTTCTTGCTTCGTCTTAAGCACATGAGCAGCTGTTGTGCTTCGGTGGAAGTAGGAAACCACCTTCCTAATCCTCCCAAGGAGGCGGTCCATCCTATTGACTGAGATTCCCTTCTGTGATGCCAAATTCACTACATGTGCAAAGCACCCTATCTGTGGGCCTAGTCCTGCCTCATTCACTGCATTTATTTGATTTTTAGCATTATCAGTTGTGACTGGGATATTAATACTGGGCCTCTTTAACTTCCATTCCTCCACTGCTTGTATCAGAACCTCCGCAAGATGAGTGCTCGTGTGACTCTCGTAGAGTGGGCGTGTCTGCAAGACCGGACTTCTCATCTGCCAGTCTGCAGTGATGAAGTGAGCGGTTATCGTCACATAGCTCTCCGTTCCCCTAGACGTCCACCCGTCTGTCGTGAGCGCAACAGAGGATGCTCGGGATAGTTCATCCACAACTTTTTTCTTTTCCTGCTCATAAAGATCTGGCACAATCTTTTCGCTAAAGTGGGTGCGCGATGGGATGTCGTAACGTGGCTCAAGCACTTTCAGCATGTGTTTGAAGCCCTCGTTTTGCACAACCGAATATGGCCTCATGTCTGCAGCTATAAACACACCGATAGCATTTGTAATGGCTTTAGCCCGGTCTGATTGTGCAACTAGGGGCTGCTTAAATGCCGCGGTAATAAGTGGTTGTTGAGCTGCCTTCGTTTTCACTCCTGTCAGTGAAACACCGGGGTGATGTCGCTTCAAATGCGTGGCCATGCTTGACGTGTTTCCACTGTCATATGGCTTTCTTGTGCCACAGTGCCTACACACCGTCTCGGTTTTATCCACTAACCTCTTTCCTTCATCATTATATTTGACGGGAAATCCAAAATGGTCCCATACAGGAGATTTAAATGACGCGGGGCGTTCAAGCTCCTCCGTTCCTCCGCTCGCCATGACGAAACTGAGTGTTGACTGAACATGCGCATTTTTTATTTTTTTTTTCATAATCAATCCGCGGATCACGTGTGTGCCGAACCGAAGACATTGATCCGAACGGATCACGGATCAATGATGATCCGTTGCACCACTAACGGCCATATTGTCTGAGCGAATCAGGACGTGGTGACCGTGTATGCGCGGGAGGAAAAACAGCAGCGCGTTCTCGACCGCGATCATTTCCAGACAGTTTATGTGTAGGGAACTCTCGTGGCTCGACCACTGGCCGGCGGCCGGTGAGCCCTCGCAAACCGCACCCCAACCCGAGTTGGATGCGTCTGTCGAGATGACTTTTCGGCGAGAACAGGTTCCCATGGTAACGCCCCTCTGAAACCACTCGATTACTGACCATGGCTGCAGTGCAGTGATACATGTCTGAGTAATCCTGATCATCTGGCGGCCCGTAGTCCACTCGCGGTGGGATACGCGGCTCTTTAACCAGAGTTGAAGGGGGCGCACGTGCAGCAGACCCAGCTGTAGCACAGCGGAGGCTGAGGCCATATAACCCAGCATCCTCTGAGAGGATTTCAGGGATGTGTGGGTACCCATCTGAAAAGAGGCGGCTAGACGCTGAACACGGCGCGCGCGCTGTGTGGATAAGCGAGCCGTCATTGTGATCGAGTTCAAATCTATTCCAAGGAATGAAATAGTTTGACTGGGCTGGAGAGAGCTCTTTGTCCAGTTGACAGAGAGTCCCGGCGCTTCCAGATGGTTGAGGAGAACTGCGCGGTGCGACAGAAGCTCCGTCTGGGAATCTGCTAGAATCAGCCAGTCGTCCAGATAGTTTAGAAAGCGCAGCCCCTGACTTCGCAGGGGAGCGAGCGCTGTATCCATGCACTTCGTGAACGTACGGGGTGCTAAGGATAGGCGGGAGAACGGCATATTGGTAAACTTGACCCTCGAAGGCGAAACGTAGGAATGGCCTGTCATGAGGGTTTATCTGGATCTGAAAATAGGCGTCTTTCAGGTCTAGAGAGATGAACCAGTCCCCCTGGCGGACGTGCGCGAGGAGTTTCTTGACTTGAGCATTTTGAACGGTCTCTTCATGAGCGCTTTGTTCAAAGCCCTGAGATCTAAGATCGGCCTGAGGCCGCCGTCTTTCTTGGGAACCAGAAAGTAACGGCCGTAAACCCCGACTCGGTCATAGATGGCGGGACCCTCTCTATAGCGCCCTTCTGCAGCAGCTTGGCTATTTCTGAGCGAAGCGTGTTCATAGCAGCCGGGCTGACAGTGGATTCGAGCCGCACGCGCGAGCGTGGCGGGCGGCGACGAAACTGTAATCGATAGCCATTCTTTATGATGCTTAAAAACCCACGGGGAGATGCCGGGGATGGCTTCCCACGCTTCGCAGCATGCAGCTAGTGGTTGAATGGCGATTTCGCCCTGATTGCTGCACATAGCGGGCTGGGCACTGGGTGTGGGCGCGCTTATAATGTGGTTGGCAACGGGACTTACACTCAGAGAGGAGTTTATGGGCCGTGTGACAGAGCGAGCAGAGGGGAGACACGCGCACGGGCTCGTGGGCGTGTTTATGTTCTCTGCTACTAGAGCGGTTAGAGACCGCTCCGTGAGAATGGGCTCTGTGTGAGACCCGGGGCATATGGTGCTTGTGTGTATACGTGAACACATGCTTGTGGGCACATTTATTACACTTGAGGCTTTTATGCTCTTTTTGTGAACTCTCTGGGTAGCCATGAAAACGGCTTTCAGTCGCTCGCAAGCGGGCAGGGAGACCGGCTTGTTTGTGGCGTTGAACTCTGCTGTAGTCAGCGATGAGACGGGGACTAACAGAGGGCGAAGCTTTGACGGCGGTCCGGCCGCAGCGGGAGAGAGCCGTCTTTTTCTCAGCTGTGCTAGGCAGACTTTTGCTGATCAGGCTTCAGCGTGATCTTGGGTCGAGGCCCCCGGGGGGAGGCTGTCTGCGGCGGCTGTCAGAGCGAGAGCGAGGGCGGCCGCCCTGTCTACCCTGGGGCTGCTGAGCTTGCTGAGGCGGGCGCTGATGTGGGGTTCCAGTAGGGGGCTCGTGAGAGCGGCCTGCCGAAGAGCTAGCGCGGCGGGGTAGGAACAAGTTCATGGCCTGGGTCGCTTTCTGTACCTCGGAGAAGCGGTCAAAGATGCCCGTGACGGCAGATCCGAAGAGGCCGGTCGGAGAGATAGGTGCGTTGAGGAACACGGCGCGTTCTGAATCTCTCATGTCGGTAAGCGTGAGCCACAAGTGTCTCTCAGCGACACAGAGGGCGGCCATGCATTTCACAGGGCTTGTAAGGCTTTAGTAGCGCGAAGGGAAAGGTCCGTAGCGCTTCTCAAATCCGCAAGGATGGGCGGGTTCCTACCGCTGTTCGCCATTTCGCACAAGATGTCGCTCTGAAGCACTTGGAGGACTGACATTGAATGCAGTGCTGAAGCGGCCTGTCCGGCGGCAGCATAGGCACGGGCATGAAAGGTAGAGGTCGCTCTGCACGCTTTGAAGGAAGCGTGGGGGAAGAACGCCATCTAGCAGAGGGCGGGCAAGATGAGCGGCGGCCAGGTCCTCGGTCTACGGCCGGTGAGAGAACGCAAAAGTTCCTCTTCGATGCCGGCGCGAGTCCCCGCAGACTCTCTCGTCGAAGAGCCAATCGACGACCAGTCCTCGCTGTCAGAAGCGTGCAGCGAACAGGAGTCCTTCTCATCCGCGGTGTCGTCGGAGGCGACAGAGCGGCCACTCGGCGGCAACTGTAAGTCCGGCTGGGGCGGAGAGGGAGAGCGGTCGGTGGGCGGCGGCGGCGGCCCGCATGAATCCGCAGGGGGCTCCGGCGGCCTCTCCGGCCTTTCTTCTTCCGCGGCGAAGTGAGAGGCGGCGCGGGAGCGGTTTTGACCGCCTGCAGTCGAGCCCGCAGGGCGGACAGAGGCAGGTCCTCACAGTGGTCGCATCCTCCGTTGGCGAGGGCGAGCTCTGCGTGTTCCACTCCGAGACAGAGAGCGCAGATGGGGTGGCGGTCTCCTTCCTCGAGTGAAGAGCGGCATGAGCCGCAGGAAAATCGAGGCATCTTGAAAAAGACGCTCGAGCTCTTTTGTGAATGGAATAGTGAAAAAGGATACGGCGTCGGATGGCGCTAACTTGCTGGGCGGCTGAAGGTGGCAGACGGCCGGCTTCCTCAGTCTCCGGAGCTCGCTAGAAGATGCCTTCTCGACGACGGCGGCTTCTTCCCAGGACAGCGGATGCGTGTAGCTCGCTGAATGAAAAAGAATCGACGAACGAGCCTGGGAGAGCTACCTTTATACACTGTAGCCATGCCCCTTTTGGCGGGCTGTGACGCAGTGAGCGAGCGCCGTCCGCTCATTGGCCGCGGACTCAGCGCCGCTCTCCCATAGGTTCGTGCATTCTCTCTGAGCGAACCAATGAGCCGCTAGCTAGCCCGCTCATGGTCTGCCTCAGAAGAGACTGCGTTGACAATGATTACAAAATTATGGAATAATTTTTTGGCTTCAACTTCTCAGCAAAGATGAATCTTTCCCTTAGCGTAAGCTAGCTTACGCAATACGAGAGAACCTCTCGTAAGAGAACGGCTCTTTTTTTACGGTTTCTTTGTTTTTGGTTTGAAACGACAAACGAAAAAAGGGTGGTTTCTCGTTATTTTGTTTTTTGTTTGAAACGAAAAAACAAACTATCAAGTTTTTGCTTTCATATATGAAAACGAAAAAATGAGAAAACAACTCCTTTTTCATTTTTTCTGAGAAACAAAAAAACGAAATTATGTCTTGATGTTTGGTTTTCCCGTTCTTGCACAGAAATCAGAAAAACACCTTGATATTCCAATTTTCCCCTGTGGGTGGGGAATCGTTAAAAATCGTTTTGATAGTTTGTTTTCCAGTTTGAAACGAAATAAGCAGAAACGAGAAAATGGCTCGTTTATTAGTTTTTTAGTTCAAAGACAAAAAAATGAATAAATGACTTAAATTCGTTTTTCTACACGTAGGCGGTCCTGAAACGCCCCCTTCCGCCGATTGGTCAAGCAAATCTGAGCATGTAACGTCATCAGCCGTCGCTCCGGTCTGTTCAACAAAATAATAGTCCTAAAAAAAAAAAAAAAAAAATAGTCCTCTAGTCTATTTGGTTACCGATTCTTAAACTGTACAGGGCAGGTCATATTGGGCTTTCTTCTGTGCAACTTAACACGTTTCACAGAAATCTTTACTTCAGACATGAATGTCTGCCAACATATATATTCATTATTATTATTATTTATATATTTTTATTCATATGGAATTCAAATACAAATATATTTTATGACTTGCCACCACAACTACCGAGTTTTTTTTTTTTAATGGTTTTTTTTTTTTTAGTATTAGACTGTGTGTCCTGACTGTCCTGACTGTACATCTAAACGCCACCTACCTATATTGCAAAGCTGGGTGTTTGTTCATACATTTCATCAGATGCCTAAACGCCTCATCTTGTTGGTTTAAATAAAATAAATAAAACAATTTGACATTTGCTCTCAATTTTTTTTCCCTTCAAAAACCTCTTCATTTTGCAGGACAATTTGTCTATTACGGTACAACGAAGCGTGCAATGTGGTCATGTAGCTACAACACGCTTTAAGAAAAGTTTATTTTCATCACACAGTAAAGTGATCTAAAGGAAAAGCAGATGTGTTTCGCCGCATACATATGACGTGTGTTTGTTTTTATTTATGTTGTATTATAATTACACTGGGTCACCAACTAAGGACAGATTGAAATCACTGCAAATTAACACATCCTTCTTGACTCGTCAACCGATGGTATTTAAGAAGCCTTTAACATTATTTGCTCAACATTAAATCTGTAACATAGCCAACATTCAGAATTGTGTCGGCAGGGAAATTTCCGCATTGATTAGTCTCACAACACGCAGTCTCATTAAGCTCTTCTGTAGATTTTGATCTTTATAAGTTATGATGATATATTGTTAATTACAAAACAACAATAAAATAGTA